TCCCTCCCAAAGCAGAATGAGTAAAAAAATATTTGCTGCATCTGAATAGGGAGAATCAAATGTAATTGTGAAAATGACAATAATAAACTAAAGTCAGTTTCAGTTGGATAGATACTTGGCTGAATCTTGGACCTGCTGAATCATGGAAGTAAAATATTAAGTAGGGATATAGATAGAAAGACCTGTTCATGGATGTGGTTTAGGGTGAAGCATGCACCTTTGGCTTCTCATAAGTGCAGGGAATGACATCTGAATCAGTTCTGGACATAATTCTGGGATTATTTTAATTTCTACACCCAAAATAATCCACTTATTTTATGCAGTCTTCTTGATGACTGCATAAGTATGCACTGTATACTTACAACAAAGTGGGAGAAGAAAAGTGTATAGAGGTTTTTTCAATCATTTCAGCTTTTGGGTGGGTAACTTTTGGATTTCAGTCCAGTTGATACTTCTACAGAATAAAGTTTATGGGACTGAGGGATTCAGCTGCATATTAATCAAATAGGTGATAGAATCTGTTTTCTTCTGAAGACCATGAAATATAATAGGTAGGAATCTAGACAAACATTGAGGGTTACCCAAGAGTACTTTAGAAAGTAAGTCTAGATTTTCTGATATTTAACAAAACAAATTGCTCAGAGGAAACATCAGATGCTGGAGAAGTTGCTGCTGTTTTGTTTTTGTTTTTTCCCCTGCCATCTCACTGTTTTTGTCATTTGCGATAACAGTTTTTTGTAATAAATTTTATTAAAGGTTTTACAAAGAACATAAAAACTAATACAAACTAATAAAGAATAAAAAGAGCAAAGAACATTTGAGATAATAGTTTTTAACCCTATAATCTTCTTATTAGGCCTGTGTAAATCATTTGATGAGGCACTCCTTTAGATTTGCTTCTCACATCTGCAAAGCACAGAAGACCTTGTGAGACCAACCAAGTGGCTGAGCCTTTCATTGATTTTTTTCACAACACTAAGGAAAGCCCAAAGAGGTACTTCACCAAACGACATGCACAGGCCTGATTCTTATGCAATTTTTGGCAGCCCAGCATTCATTCCTAGTGCAGATTTTGTGAAAACTGTATACAGTGTATTTGTCATCACTCAAACTCAACCTCACTGAAGTTGAAATGTGAGAACTGGCTGACAAGCTTGAATGAATAGAATCCAGTGAATTTAATCTAGGGACACGAAGGTCAGTCATGGGTTTTTGAACCCACTGAAGGCTGCAGAAAACTAAAAGTCTAAAGGGTTACAAACCAGAGCTGTGTTATCAAAGAGGTAAATGCTGAGATGTTTGCATGCATTATGAACTTCTACATGTGATGTGAGTAGCTCTGTAAAGGATCTTACAAAAATGGGACACAGTGAACAGAAACTTAAATATAAGCCTTTTAAGATGCCTAAAATAGAAACAGTGATACAGAACACTTCTGGGAAAGACTTTTCTTTGGGGGGGGGTGCAATTATTCTGAGCCAAGCAAGAGATTTTAGTAGAAATTCTTATGTAATTTTCTTCTATCTGAAATGCTTCCATATAGTCCTATTGCTGTTTTTTTCTTACAACAAACAGAAAAATAAATGGATCATAACAGAAGAAAATATCATTTGCACTTACCTCTTTCCCCATCATCTGAACTAGCTGGCAACCATTTCCAGAAGATGACATTGCCCTCCACTGATCTTCCTCTTGCCCTTAAAGCAGCCTCGATGTCATCTGTTTCTGGCCACCAGAAATGCTTGCAAGCCATTCAGACAACAGGGCAAGAGGTAGGTGTAGATACAGCCAAAGAAAGCAATGCAAGACAGAGCCTTTAAGCTTAGTACTAGGAGTGCATCATGTCAAAAAACTGATTATTTCAGATTTCAGACTCCATAATGTTGATTATACTTCAGATGAACAATGGTCTGTCAGATGTTACTTACAATTGTTCAAAATTTCTACACCAGTTTTTCCATCTTGTTGTCTTCCAGAGACATTGGGACCAATAGCCATGTTGGCTGGGAATTCTAAGTGTTGTGGTCCAATATCATGGAAGAAACCACATTAGGAAGCTGGTCTACTGTTTGCTGATCTTTGTGTCTAAATATTTCCTCCCTTTCAGCCAGTTCCAATAGATGACAACTTCTGTGGATTGGACATTAATCAGCCACTGGGAGGCTCCATACCAGTAGAGGGAGTGACCCTTTACACATCCAGTCGTGATCGGATGACTTCTGTTACATCGTATGTCTACAATGGCTATAGTGTGGTGTTTGTGGGTACCAAGAGTGGCAAATTAAAGAAGGTAAGACAACTCTTTACTGTTCGGCATTTCACTTCTCTATGGGTATTGATGTTAGAGGTTTTACAACATTTTATTTTGAATATTTTCAACCACTATTCAGTTCATTTATTTGTTAGATTTTTATCCTGCTTTTATTTTTGGTCAACTCAAGATGGCATGCGTATCTAATGTTCCTGTTTCCTATATTCCACATGACAACTACCCTGTAAGGTGGATTGGGCTGAGAGACAGCAGCTGGCTCTCCTGCCTAAGGATGTTTATATTGCTTTAGAGAAGTCTTTCTCAACGTTTTTATCCTGGAGGAACCTTTAAAATAATTTTAAGGTCTCAGGGGCCCCGGCATAAAAACCAAAAACTTCACAAAACAATTTACTTTTAACCTATTCAACCCATGTTTACAATATTTACAATGCTTACAACAACAACAACCACAAAGTAGCAGGCTGGCAGCTGAGTTGCAGCATAAAAATTCCCACCATTGTGAGTGCTAGCATTGTGTGGCACATAAAGTTCAAATAAGATGTTTATTTTATTTTATTTTATTCAGTCACGATCTCTCATGGAACTCCTACCAAACCCCAGTTGAGAAAGGCTGCTTTAGATTATTTTTCCAAAGAAAAAGAGAACTGAGAATTTTGGACCATGTTTTGAGAATTTGGCATGCAGTGTGGTGTTTTTGTTCTTACCTTAACTTTGAAGTAACTGAGGAATGTGCGATTCTTACATACCTTTTTTCTTATTCAAATCATCTCTCCAGTCAGCCCTGACTTCCCTGGTTTCTTATGCTTCCATTAAATCCCCATATCATAAGGATCCATGGGACTTTTTCTGATCAGGAAGCAGGGGCAGCCAAGGAGGATGAAGAGTGATGGAGAAATATGTAAATTGAAAGCAGCAAAAAACAGGCATTGAAGATATATGAAAGTAAGGGGATACCAAAAGCCTATGTTATATAGGAATTAAACATTCAGATTCTTGTGGTTTCAGGTTTTGTTTTGTTTTTTAAATAAAAATACTCCTGGGTTAATGGTAGTTAGTATTTTGCAATTCCAGTTACATTTTTAAAAGGCAAATTTATTTTTGTGTACTATTTAAACATGATCCCAGTTTGATTCTATGTCAGCTTTGGGGCACAACATTTTTCAGGGCTATCCCAATTATTTGCATTGGTTCTTTTGAAGACACATACTCTTACAACAACTGTGTTAATGTGATTTTTTGCTGAAACAAATAGCTTTTGAAAAAGTGGCTTTCATTGGAGTAAAAAGATATTCTTTATTTTTTATTCTTTATTCATCTGTCAGCATATGAGGGAACAGAGCAGTGAGAAGATTCAATTTATATTCCTCCTGGAATTATCACATATTCTCAGAAAATTTTTCATAATGTCCTTTTGTGGCCTTTTGACAGCATAGTATTTGTGGATTAGTTTGTAAATTTGTATCCAGAATACAGCATGCCTTAGTCAAATACTTTTGCAACAGTAATCAAAACTGCCATGTATTATAATAGTAACTGAAGGCCTTTGACAGACAAAATATACTCTTACGAGAAAAAAAAAATCAAATGTGAACATTTAAGAAATAAACATTAACATATCTGATATCAATATACTATGTAACTACTTCAAGTAATACTGGAACAAACAGCTGCTAGAATGAACTATGGAATTTGGTCAAATTCTTGAATAAATGTGGAGAAATAAATAAATAATATAGAAATTCCTTTGTTAGGGATGCATTTTAGCCTGTATACAGTGCCCAGAAGCCTGAGCAACAAAAGTAAAAGAAAAACTGTATAAGTAATAAATCAGTAATTTTATTTTCTACTATCAGAAATCAGTTAACTGGCTTTTACACTAAAAAGATTCTGTTCAAGTGGAGAGAAACATACAGCTTTTCCAGATTTTCAGTATTAAAATCACATTTGGATACTTTCATATTTCTGTAGAATATGGATACAGTAATTAATCTCTTCTGAGTTATCATCTATAGATGTTTATCAAAATCTAGAAAGAAGACAAATTCTTACATTTCATTTTTGCTTTTTAGCAACTCCCTTGTAATTTTTAAGAGAAATATGAGTCAATTGGCAAGGGTAGCCTTTCAAAGGCCATAGTCTAACACAGGCAGTGCCGTGCTACCCTCTAGTCTTGCTGCTTGCCATTCTGCCCTTTCTATGGACTTTCTCCTGTGACTGACTCATTAGATAAAATTCCTTATAGCCTGCATTACAAAAGCAGACTGCTTGCCCAAGGGGCATTCTACATTCTTTTGCCTTAAACAAAGGCTTCCTTTTGTGAAAATAGGGAAGCTGTGATTCATTGTGGCTTTTTCTTCACACATATTCATGGTAAAGCAGTAAAGCTCTGTGGTAAATTAGATGTTCATGTAAATTTAAACTTTCCATTCCACTGAGTGTTAACAGCAGCTTTAGTTTTGAAATTGGTGATTTTAACCAGTCATGGACATAACCTCACTGCTGAGTGATATCATTTCCCATTTGACTGTTGAAAATGCATCCTGATACCCCAGATCATAAGCAATGATAATATTCTCTTAGGAGTAAAAGAAGGGAATAGGACAGTGATTTTCAGCTTTGTTTGCCTCCTAGTACAGGCTCCATGCCCCTAAAAATCTGCTCTGGAGAGTTGGATAAAGTTTCGAAAATCACCATTGTATAACAGCAAAGAGATACAGAAAACTCTTAACTCTTTGCTTCTATCCAGAGTTCACCTGGATTTTTGCAGTCCAAATATGGTAGTGCTAGAGTTGCAAAACATGCTGGAACAACATATGAGGTGAAATGAGAAGTTACAGAAGGAAGGAAGGATGATCAAATGTAATGAATTAACTAATTAATGTAATGTAATTCATTACATTACCTAATGTAGTGAATCTTAGCTAAGAAGCTAGGCACATTATGGCTGAGTTCGCACTGCATGCTAGGCCATGATTTGTTTGGTCACAACTTATTAAATAAACTATAATTGGCTGGGCTCACACAATATGCCAAGATATAAGCCATGGTTTCCAAACCACAAATCTGTGTTCATATGACATGTTAGAGCAAAATCAAGCAAACCCCATTATGGCAGTGTTGTATGAATCCTGCCAACAGATTTGCTTTCCAGTTGTGTCATCATGTGAATGTATAGTCATAAGTATGTTTTAGTCTAGGAAAGCAGATCTGCTCTGTCTTTTTTTAACCACCATCCCAATAAAATCAAGTGATACCAGACTAAATGTTTACAAGATGGTGCATGAGATCAATCCCACATTGCATAATTAAATTGTGTGTGTGTGTTTAAATAGTGCAATCCTTTGCATGATTATTCATAAGCAAGACCAGTGTGTTCCACTGGACTTAATCTCATGCAATTGTTAATGTATATTTGTACAGAATTTGTCTCACTGTGTTCAATTAGCCTACAATTTTATAGACCCATTTCCTGAAAATATTTACACTGAATAGGCAAACATCTGAAGTGTTGATCTCTGGCTTAATTTCAAGACTGTAGATGGTTTGTCACTTCATAATCGTTGTGTTTCCAGTAATGCTCTTAATATTGACCACAAATACTAGAACTACTGTACAGTGCTTAGTTATTGGTTTGGTAAGTTCTTATGTAATTCATCTTTACTTCTTTGTCTCTATATTCTGTTTGAAGCAACATTTTTCAAAGGTATGCTAATTAAACAGTGTGTGGCATCAGTGTATGTGTGGGTGTGCTTAGGCTACTGCATTTTTGGCTGGAAAAGCTTTACTTTAAAATGCTCTTAAAGAAAGTAGCTTGTATCTGAATTTTGATTATTTAATGTACCAAGGGAAATTGTGTTCTATTAATTATGTAGGATTACTAAAGGAATGTTCTTTTTGGGTTGGTTTAATCCCTGATGGCATTTCTATAGTGGAGGCTTTTTTCAACAGATGCATTTTTGATGCCAAGTAGATTTACAGGAATTAGGCTGCTTTGCTGCATTTATAGAGTCATGTAGGGTTATCACATCTGGGTTGCAAAACTCCAGATGACCACTAGAGTTTTCTGTACCCCTTTACAGATATCTAATGTTGGTTTGAATGTTTGCAACCCAGATATGGAAGCCCTAGAGCAGTGTTTCTCGATCTCAGCAGCTTCAAGATGTGTGGACTTCTACTCCCAGAATTCCCCCAGCCAGTTGAAGTCCACACATCTTAAAACTGCTGAAACCAAGAAACACTGTCCTAGAGTAATATATAAAAAGAAGAGATGTGTATCAGTGTTAATACTTTCTACATTCCAGAGGTCAGAAAATATTTGTTGGAAATCAAAATTCTAAAAATTTAAACAAAAATGTTTTTATTAGCACAGGTGTTTAGCAGAATTATTAGGAGTGGGGTGGGATACCTTTCTCAGCAATCCTGGTTAAAATCAGGTTTCTGGAACTGAGGGCAGGGGGACTTCCCTCTCATTCCCTTGGTGACCCTGTTTAAAATTGCTGATTTTCTCATCACTACATTTTAGTTATGGGAAGAAACTCTGAGTTTCTGAGTTGCCAGGATATGGTACAAATGTGTCATTCAAGCAACGGTGAATTTATTTAAAAATGTATTTATTGGGTTGAGTCAATGACTTCTCCCTGTAAAAAAATCGTTGCACTTTAGAGCCCAGAGGTTTATGTGCTCAGTGCTCTCCTAGATCACAATTTTCAGTATTTGTTTCTTGCCTTAGGGGAGAAGCAATAACAGATGGAGTAGTTTTTGCTATTTTTAGGATAATAATGTACTCTAAATGAAGAATGTAAATGTGGAAATCACTGGATGAGGAATGAACTATTGGAGAAAATTACAAAGGACCCCCCATTAAATCAGAAAACAAGCTTTTACATTAATTGTAAAAAATCATCAGCATCCTAAGTCCCAAAATCTTTTAAAGCTGGGTTTGGCTCTGCATATCATTTTTACTACCCTGAGTGTTTCTGTTGATATTAAAGTGTCTGAGTAACTCTAATCTTAAGGCT